ACCATGTCATGAAATGACACTTATATCTTTGTAGATATTATTGACACTGCGAACATGATGGGATATCAACCATCTCATGCGCTGTCTGGCCAAAAACTACAGTGAATCAGGTTTGACTGTAAGTGGGCTACAGATAGCCGCTCTGAATACAGAGCTAAATCGTGGTTACACACTACATATTGAAAATGTCAAAGAAATGAAACCAAACACCTTGTAAACACTGTTACTTTGCTTACATGATGGAATATCATACATCTAACAAGTTATTTTGCCAAAAAACGACATGAAACCAAATTCAAGGTTATTTGGGCTAGAAGTGGGTTACATATAGCCGGACTATATCGGGTCTATACTTAACCGAGACGTTGAAATTACGGCTATTGCTTGCTGGGTACATAAAAATATTTTTTGTTTAATTCTCATCAAACAAAACAACTTTAAGCAAATAGTGTTAAATATATCTAAATTAATTCAAATGTTAGTCTATGTTAGTAACCCCTTTTTATTTTTATTTTTTTATGTTTTATAAATGTTTTGACGTTTTAAGTTTAATTTGGTGCTTTTTTTGATGATCTGCCGTTGATCCCGCCTCGCGGCGATGACGTCATCACTAGCGCGCGTTCACTCAGCGTCGCGTGAGTGGTGAGCAGTAGGTGGCGGTAATGCACTTATAAGTCTGCGATCCGCCGTAAAGCAACAACAAGAAGAAGATTAGTTTCACCGCGCTCTCTGTTGTTTTGTTGTGATGCTGGTTTAATACAAACGGTTAGAAATGTTGTTTCTGTAAGAAAAAATACAGTTTTTGAATCGGGTCATTAAATACCTGTAATATAATCGTCCTCACAGTCGTGACTAAGTTTTGAAGCAAGAAGGAATATCTGGAGGAGTATCATCTGAACTGAGATCTGCTGCTGTGAAGATGCTGTTTGTCAAAGAGGAGAGTGAAGAGAACACGAGTGAAGAAACCGGGAGAATAAAACACGAGGAACCAGAACCCCGGAGAATAAAACATGAGGAACAAGGAGGTTGGTCTTTATTCTTCATTCATCTTTAAATGCTAAAGAGCTTTGAATACAGAACCTAATAAAGCTTCAATTCAATTGTGTAGTTTATCAAACATTTGATAGTTATCCTTATAGAAACATGGGATTTTTATAATGTTTTAAAAATAATAAATTTAAGATCAATGTACCACATATATGGAAAGATTCAGGGATATATAATTTATACTCCTTTTGACAGATTTATTCCCATCAAATTAAGGTCTACTGCACAGTAGAGATGTCAGTTAAAGGGTTAAGTTATGTTTTAGGTGGGATATTATGAAAGCAAAAAGCAGAAAACAAGACCAATAACCTTGATTTATTAACCTATTAACACAGTATACCCCATTTCCCCATGATATGTACTTAAAAGTAATTTGCCCACCGGCAACTATAGTTGCCGCTTGGACTTTTAACTAAGTATACAAAAAACTATAGATCTCCTGGAAGATTTGTTTTGTTTGGATGATTCTAGAGACCTTCGTGATTATGTAGATATATATAATATATATATATATATATATATATATATATATATATATATAAAATGCATCAAAATGACCAAAATTAAAAACTAAGAAACACCTGATGAATTATGACGAACCCTGGATCTTAATTAATAATGCTAACAGTTATAAAGCTTTCCAACAAGAGTAAAATCTTTCCGTGCCACGAGCAGCTGTCACCATTTAGATGCAGCTGCCATCGCTATGTGCTCCGTCACCGGACTCAACGCGACTATACGCGTCTGCCACTGGACTCCTCACGGTTAAACACGCTGGCCTCGCGACCCGTCACAGCTGTATAAGCTGGTCACGGGACTCATTACGGCTATATATAAATGCCCTGAATAATAAATGTTCTGTTGTTGTGTCCTCAATCCTTGTCGTTTGACCAAACGTGCTGGAATATCACGTGATGCCTATAATGCGTATATAATGGTGACCGGTCGACTGCCATGTAGTGGTGACATGTCGAGTGGCAGCTGCCCCTGGCACGGAAAGATTTTACTCCCTCTCCAGTTTCAAGCAGATTTAGATTTACTTTACGGAAAATAAACCATTCTTACTTTTATTTCAGGGATGATTGAAAAAAACAAGGAGAGTGAAGAACTGAGTGAAGTTGAAGAGAAAAATAATGTCAAAACTGGAGAAAAACCCTTGAGTTGCTCTCAAACCAAACAGAAAGATTTTAAGAAAAGAAGAGCCAATAAATCTTTCACCTGCACACAGTGTGGAAAGAGTTTCTCATTCAAACAGCATCTTGTGCTTCACATGAGAGTTCACACTGGAGAGAAACTGTACACTTGTGATCAGAGCGGGAAGAGTTTCACACGATCATCAAGCCTTAAGGATCACATGAACTTTCACCCTGGAAAGAAACCATACAAGTGTTCACACTGTGACAAGAGATTCAGTCAGTCAGGACACCTTAAAAGACATGAGAGGATCCACACTGGAGAGAAACCGCACAAGTGTGATCAGTGCGGGAAGAGTTTCGTTATAAAAGGACAACTTACAGAGCATATGAGAGTTCATACTGGAGAGAAACCGTTCACTTGTGATCAATGTGGAAAAAGTTTCTCACGATCATCAAGCCTTAAGATACACATGAAGATCCATACTAGAGAGAAACTGTACACATGTGATCAATGCGGGAAAATGTTTTTGAGAGCTTCAGACCTGAAGCAGCACATGAATGTTCATACAAAGGAGAAGACACATTCATGTAATTTGTGTGGAAAGAGTTTTTCATTTCAACAAAGTTTGAAAGAACATCAGAAAATACATACTGGTGTGAGAGAGTACATGTGCTTTGAGTGTGAAAAGACTTTTACTACAGCGAACTGTTTAAAACTGCACGAGAAGATTCACTCTGGAGAGAAACCTTATAAGTGTTCACACTGTGACAAGAGATTCAATCATGCATCAAATCTGAAAAGACATGAGAGGATCCACACTGGAGAGAAACCGTATCACTGCACTGCATGTGGGAAGTGTTTCAATCAATCATCTTCTCTACTCAGTCATACAAAAAACATTCACAGTAAGTAGATCATCTTCAGATCTGATGCTGCCTCCTCACCAACTGTGACACAATAATGCGTCAAACAATAAAATATCATCTGGATAAATCTGGCCTAACCAAACATTACAAGTGACATGACAAAGAAACATTATCTAAAGTTTTCACAGTGAATAAAGTTTGTCTTCTTCTTCAGAACCAGCAGATTCAACTGTGAGATTCAGATCAACTCAAAGATGGAGTTCCTCCCCAAAGAACAATGTCACAAAGTTGTATTCTTGTGTATAATTTAGCTTTCTTATCAATAAATAAATACACACACACACACACACACACACACACACACATATATATATATATATATATATATATATATATATATATATATGTATATATATATATTCTTATACTGTCATGACTCATGTAGCTTTGCAACTGATCATTATTTGCTTCTCTTGTAAGAAGGGATGGGTATCTGAACCTGGTATTAAACAAGCCCTGGGGCTAAAATCTGATGTGTCTTGAGAACGTTATGGCCGCTGTGTGCATGTGTCTGGTAAGTCCTCATGACTGTAGTAATCCATTATTATAATTTTACACCACTGATCTATAATAGAGAACTGGATTGCTGATGATGTTTTAGAAGTGAAGCCACTGCGCCGTCATATTGCTATTCCCTAGTGCTCCCATATATTCTGTTGAATTGAAAGTAAATCGTACAAATTTTTATGAGAAAACCACCAAACGAGTCAACTTTTTTATATCTGAAGTATCCCTGTACGTTCTTACAACACAAACGTGCTTCATGTAAAAGGTTTTATTAAGATTTGTTTAATGCTGGGAATTTCCCCTGCCTATTAAAAAAAAAAAAAAATTAAGTATCATATTCATTACAGTATTGAACATCAGATTGCACTGTATTTTATGTATGTTCATTTTTATTCTCAACAGTTTTAATCACACACACATATATATATATATATATATATATATATATATATATATATATATGTATATATATATATATTCTTATACTGTCATGACTCATGTAGCTTTGCAACTGATCATTATTTGCTTCTCTTGTAAGAAGGGATGGGTATCTGAACCTGGTATTAAACAAGCCCTGGGGCTAAAATCTGATGTGTCTTGAGAACGTTATGGCTGCTGTGTGCATGTGTCTGGTAAGTCCTCATGACTGTAGTAATCCATTATTATAATTTTACACCACTGATCTATAATAGAGAACTGGATTGCTGATGATGTTTTAGAAGTGAAGCCACTGCGCCGTCATATTGCTATTCCCTAGTGCTCCCATATATTCTGTTGAATTGAAAGTAAATCGTACAAATTTTTATGAGAAAACCACCAAACGAGTCAACTTTTTTATATCTGAAGTATCCCTGTACGTTCTTACAACACAAACGTGCTTCATGTAAAAGGTTTTATTAAGATTTGTTTAATGCTGGGAATTTCCCCTGCCTATTAAAAAAAAAAAAAAATTAAGTATCATATTCATTACAGTATTGAACATCAGATTGCACTGTATTTTATGTATGTTCATTTTTATTCTCAACAGTTTTAATTCATTTTAAATCAATTTTTGAATCATTTTATAATTTTGAAATTCCTTGTTTTTATCATTGTGATCGTTTTTTATGATTATTTTAATTCCTTATATATGTAAAGCACGTTGAATTACCATTGTGTATGAAATGTGCTATATAAATTATCTTTGCCTTTGCCTTACATTAATATTTAATTCAACATAAATGCATAACATTTCACTTCTATGGAAACTGTAATGCTAGTAAAATGCCATAAAATTTGCATGTCTGAAATAGATGTTGCACAATCAGATCATAAATAAATACACATCGTTACATCATTCAGAGAAATAACAATATACGGTACAGACTTACAGACAAGAAGCTTTATTTCCAAGATTATGCATGGTAAGCTTTAAATTTTAATACAATATAGAGCAACATAGCAACAGAGGCTTGTATTGTCAAATTAGTTGTATATTCTAATCAATTTCTGATTCTAATACCAGCTATATGTTCATGTTTAATATTTCCTGCATAAAGTTGTTTTGTTTGATGAGAAATAAAACCAAAAGCTGTTTGTGTACCATTCATCAGTGTCTTTGCAAATCTACACGATCACTATATACTGACAGACAGTGATTAACTCGTTCTTTTGTCTCTATACATAAATATACATAATTGTCTGATTTTGTAAATGTGGCCAATTACATTTGCATTAAGCACCCAGTTTGCTCTTCTCTATAATTTTAAATAATAGCTTACATTTACAAATAGCACAAATAAACCTTTTTAATGAAAGTAAAGTCCATGCTTAATACAATTTCTGTGAAAATACAGCAAACCCTTTGTGTTATTGTGCATTTTTATCAGTTGACAGAAACATTTGGCCTTGAAAAGACCATATACATAAATGATAAACTGAAGAAGGAGGCCTTGTGATAATCTGGCCATTTGCTTATTCAATCATTTCTGAGAGTCTTTTATCTAAAATCAGTGAATATGCATAACAAGAAGAGCATATGTGTATTTTACCAATAAACTGAAGAAGGAGGAGGAGATGTGAATCAAACCACTCTGTGTGTCTCGTTCTTTTTGTACTGGAAGAAATGTTTATGTCAAAAGTGTAAATATATTTGCAAACACATTTATTTAATATTAACACTACACTGTAAATGATTTTTGTAATTTGAACAGTATTATACTCTAATATATACAATAAGATACTGTAAAATGTGTACAGTATTTTACTGTAAACAGCAAAGGATTATGGGAAAATATACAGTCACTACTGCATTTCCTCACTACTGTAAATCAATTTACAGTAGTGAACTTGCCCGCGAAAAACTGACCAATGGCAAGGTAGATTTCTTTTTTGACTGTTTGGTGGAAGTGGCTGTAAAAGGACAAAAGAGAAATACACTGTTAACTCGACAAAAAGGTTAGTATATTATTTCTGTTTTATGCAAAACTGCGATATTTTAAGATATTTTCACTTGTTAACAGCAAACTAACATTATTCATCATGTCATTTTTCATGTCGGGAGTTGGAGCCTTTTTTTCTGACTGATGGCCGGAATGCCGCCAAAAGGCTGATAACATCGACTGGCGAGTAAGTTAAGGTCACCTATATTAGTCTAAATAAACCTTAGTTAAACCGAGAAACACATTTGTACGTTCTGCTGCCCTTTAATGCAAGTTAGCTCCTCTGGTGAGTCGTTATTTAACCTTAACAGCGAATTAATGTGAAATACTGAGCTAAAGTGTGTTAGGCAAACCTACTGTTTCAGTGGAGGATTTAAACAGTATTTTCTAGTACCTCTTTTGTTTGTTATTTTCAGATTTCTAGTCTGGATGTAGTCTGCAAGGTCGGAGGTGTATTTTGGATTCTCCTCTTGTGAATGCCATAGTATCGATGATAACATCAACTCGTAAGTTAATAATGTCAGTTAACTTAGTTGAACAAACAGAAGTATAGTAAGTTCTTTACTCTCCCTCTTTATCGCAAGTAAGGTAATTCTCTTCAAATGCTATTTAAGTCAGAAAGTGTGTACCAATGTCATATGTAACTTTAGAAACGGTCCCTAAATTCAGTGACAGATGTAACGTTAACATAAAACTAACAACCTACTGAGGAAAACTGAGTGAAGAAACACCACTGCTAATAACATCTTTTGTGTTTTATTTTCAAGTTTGTGGCCATGTTGTCTGCATCGGAGGTGTATTGGAGTCTTTTCCTGTGATTGCCATCGTAGCGGTGCTAACATCAGGTGAACTTCCATCAACTTAACTAACGTTAGTTACTAAATTAGCCAAATTAGCCTCTAGCTGCTGTTCTCCACTAACTGACAGAACAGGTTGACTTATTAAAGAGATGAACATTCTAGCAATATATTAATATATCAAGTTTTGCTGATAAATATTACAAATGTTTATTTGATTAAAATGTAAATTCCGTTACTGTACAGTTTTTTTCTGATAGCACAAAATTATGTTGTGACTCTGTCTGTTACAGGAGATTTCTCCAAGCAAAAACAGGATCCTTACTATGAGAGGCAGAATCATCATACAGCCAGCTGTCCATTTTACAGAAATGCAGAATTAGGTAACACAAAATACATTTTGTTTTACTTTGCATAAAAGCATCTGGCAAATGCATAAATGTAAATGCAAAGCAAGTTACATTGTATTTAAAGTACACATTTTATTAAGTTATTCATTCCCTGGGAGTCTTAACAGGGGCGGCACTAGGGGTGGGTTAAAATTGTTACTGCTACTGTACAGCATTTTTTTTTCTGATCATAAACTACAGTAACACAAAATGATGGATCAAAAACAGGATCCTGACTACGAGAGGCAGAATCATCATACAGCCAGCTGTCCATTTTACAGAAATGCAGAAATAGGTAATACAAAATGCATTTTGTTTTACTTTGCATTTACATTTATGCATTTGCCAGATGCTTTTATCCAAAGCAAGTTGCATTGTATTTAAAGTACACATTTTATTAAGTTATTCATTCCCTGGGAGTCTTAACAGGGGCGGCACTAGGGGTGGGCTAAGGGGGCTGAAACCCCAAATGTTTTTATTACAGTGTTGTAAGAAATTATAGTCTGCCTCGACCCAGCTTCCACTCCAAATTGTGTATTAAACTATGCTCCTTTCTCCACAAAGAGCTTAATTATCATATAGATAGTTCTTTCCGATCTTAATCATATGTAAATATTAACATTACCTCCAGAGATAGCAGGAGGTGGGAGAAGCAGCAGGTCGTCAAGAACCATCTGCTGACCAAAAGGGTACATGAAAGAACGGCTATGGATTCTGTTTAATCTTATCACCTTAACTTTTGGTTCTTCCCACTTGAGTCTACCGAAGATGTGGGAAAGGAAGACTATCACTTTAACTGTCATCCGCAATTTACATTTAAAACTAAACTTAATTTACATGTTGAGAGGGAAGATAAACGTAATACTGTATAAAATGATTGAGCTTAGGATGTTCGGGGTTCAGTCTGACTCTACTAAAAATTACCATGCAAGTGAAACAATATGGAAAGAAGAAAAGGTTAGGATGCAGAATGAGATCACACGTCTTACAACTAACAATAGCATGCTTAGATCCTCTGTAGAAGCATTGTCCAACGATTTGGAGGAAGCAAAAGTTGCATGTCAGTTTATGATAAAGAATTGCACAACTAAGCAACACAGCAGTAAGACACTGTTAGGAGTCAAGCTGTGTAATCCTATTTCAGAAATACTAGATTTGCAGGAAGATGAGAGTTAAGAAGA